ACGTCAGGGCGGTGGGCCTTGGCTAAGAGACCAGCTAGAGTAGAGGGGTGCAAGCCGAGCGGGCCAAACCCCAGCAAGGGAGGAAAGGCCAGAGGTAGCCTGGTGGCTTTGGGGACAAGTGTCCCACCGGAGTGGCAATGCGTAACACCGGCGAGACATGGGCACGGCTCTAGGAGAGGTTTGGAGGCCACAATTAGCCTTGGGGCACATGCGGGCCAGGCGGGCGCACCTCATGGGGGTGATCCGTGCAGTCGGCGGGGCCGGACAGAGCTCGCTCTGACCGTGGGCAGCCTGCCTTTTTCAACCAGCTGATATGAGCCAGGCGTAGTGGGCAAGAAGCAAAGGGCCCGGCTCCGGCTCTGCGGTGCCTTCAGGACCCCGGGGCCCAGTCCAGTGGCAGTCGCGCACATCCACACCCCCTGCACCACCCCCTGGCTGCCTCCTCCGGCTTCCTGCATTGGCTGTCACATGGTGCCACCGCACCCCTTACCCCGCTGGGACCAAGGTCCTGCTGTGCTCCCAGACTGGGGCTGTCCCCGCACGCAGGTAGACCTCACCCCCTTGCCTCCTCCACAGCTGTGTCTGTCGCGAGGTGTGCTGGGTCTCCAGGTGTGCTGACTAGCAGAGCAGCCAGCGGCTTTGGGAGGCGGAGAGTGAGTCCCCTGTGCCGTGTGAGGGCCGGGTCCGTCACTGCCCCATGCCCTGAGGCTGTGTTTTGCTGCTGGGGCCTTGGGGATCGGAAGCTGTTGAGTCCTGGGGTGATGGCAGGGCCTGGCTTTTTCCCTAGCCGCGCTCTCTGTGCTCCTCTTCCCCTCCAAGAAATGCCGGGCGGCTCTTTCTTAGCGTGCCTCCCAGGACCTGTGCTGCCGGTTGTGATTTATAGGTGCAACACTGGGGGTTAGCAGGAGCTGGAGCAGAAGGAAGGAGCACTTCTTCATGACCTGCTCAATATGCAGATGGAGAGAGCTCTCTCCAGCTGGCATTTGAAATGCAAGGCCGCCCCTGACTCATTTCTTAATCCTTTGCTCACAGCTTGTTAGGATGCGGCGGTAATCGTATTTTGCACCCTTCCTTCCCTTGCTGTAAGAGCAGGATGCATGCGGAGTTGCCCTGGGAGAAGGCAGGGGCTAATCTTTCCTCTCGGCCTCTTGGTTGTATGCCTTGATTAAATGCAGTGATTCAGAACTCGTGGTAGACGTGACATCTTTTCTTAGACTAACTAGATTTTTTGCAAAAAAAAAAAAAAGAAAAAAAAATTAATTGCAGTTTAATTTCTAGATCAAGATGGCTACAACCTGGATACTTGATTAAATAAAGTGTTCGCTAGCTGCCCGGCCCCCCAACAGCGAGCCAACCTGCATGTTGCATTTGCGGGGGGAACAGAGGCGAAGCTGCTGGGTTTGCATCACCCCGCACTGTCTTGCATGTAGTTTTTGTTAAATATGTCCCCGTCCTGCTCTTGTCTCAGGTCAGACAGGTCAGGAATGAGAGGGAGCTGCTGGACATGGGGTGAGCTCTACCCTTGGCCGGGCCGGTCAGACCTCACTGCTTGTTGTACTATGGGGCTGGTGCGGGGGGTTATGAATTGACACTGCCCCCAGGGTTTTGCAAGGCTGGGGGAAAGGGGCTCCCAGGGCTGTGCCCGTAGGTAGTAAACTTCAGTAGTTAAACCTCAGGCCTTGCTCGTGGGAGGCTGGTACCAAGCACAGCCGTGCTGGCGTGGCTGGTTGCCGGTGCAGGGTTGTGCTGTCCTTGCGCAGGCAAAGACCCCTAGTGTAGATGGGACGCCGTGGTGCTGCCTGGGCACGGACAGGCCATGGCCATACTTCCGTCTCCAGGATCGGCATTGAGCTGCACACCCGGCTGCTGCGCGTGGTTTGCGCCTCCACCCCGCCTGCCGGCAAACAGTCGCGAGTGAAGGTGCATCTTGGCAGGTCTAAATTAGACACGCAGGGGAAGGAGCAGGAGGTTGTGAACGCTCATGGCCCCTGGCTGCCTCCCTCCCTGCATTGCCCCGAAAAGCAGGCGTGGAGACGATTGGGTTTTTGGTTCAAGTGATTTCTGTTTTCATCCAATTTGGCCCGACAGCCTGCGCTGGCAGGAAGCAGATGAGGCGGATGGGGTTCGGAGGGACCTTTGCTTGGCCTTGGTCTTTGGGACAGGCATATAGAAATCGGCAGCAATGGATGGTGAGCTGGCCAGAGCAGAGGGGTAATGCCCCCGGCTCAGCCTGGGAGCAAAGTCCCCCTGTGCCAGTACCGGAGAGCACAGCCCGCTCCCTGCTCTTTGGACTCCTTCGCTCCGGAAGCTTGTACCCGGCTGCAGTGGTGGTATCAAGTCATATATGCAAGCAGGCACGGATATGCACACGTGTGTACACATGCACACATACCATTCCCATGACAGTCCGGACCCGGCTGAAGGACTGGCTTAGATGAGCTCTCTGGAGGTGGAAGCTGAGCTCAGCTTTCGAGCAGGGCGGGGACCCCATCCAGACACACTCGTGCACTTCCATCCGTGTGTGTGTGTGCGCACGTACATGCATGTGTGAACCCTGCCCAACCCTCCTTCAGAAGGACCAGGCCTGAGCACTGGCCTGGGAGCCAGGAATCTCCTCTTCATGGTAGCTCTGAAGAAAATACAAGGTGTTGCGTCCCCGCGCTTCCTCACCTCTGGGCCTGTCTGTCCTATCCTGTGTCCGTGCCGGACCAACGTCCATGGTGGCATGGGCATCAACTCTTCCTGCTGAAGGCTGCGATACCAGTGTCACCCCTGTGCCCGCGGTGTGAATGAGGCACCTCTGTGACTGTTGTGCTGCAGACGTGGCTCTGCATGCATTGCTCCCCCCAAAAGGCCTCGTGTTGTGCTCCGAACTGTGGGCATGGTGCAGCCGTGTCTCCTGCCACGGGCTGTTCTTCCACCTTGGGCTCCTGTCAGGGGGGAAAGTCTCCCCCCAACAACCTGCAGTGGGGTCTGTGGGATCACGGGAGGGACTGGGCCTGCAGGGGAGTGTGCTAGAGAGCCCGGGGGGTGGGGGGGTCCTCTCCATGAGGGGCTCGAACTGGGGCATGTAGGGAGGAAGGAGGGATGGAAAGGTTGATGCTTTTGGTAGAGGCTTTCTCCCCTGCAGCTGCCTCCCGAGGCTTGCTTGGTTCCCTGTCTAATCCCCTATTGTCAGTGCAAAGCCCCGCGGAGCCGTGTACGGTGGCGAGGCATTGCCTGCACTGGGCAGAGCCCTAGGATCCAAGAGCCCTGCAGCTCAGACATGGGTGCCGCCTGCCACGGTGCACGGTCCCCTGCCGTCTCATCCCTCCTGCTTTGTCCAGCCCCACGGCGTTGGCATGGGAGTCTCCCGTCCAGCCGCCTTGCTCTGCGTCACAGGGAGGCGAGAGCCCAGCTCCTTTCGAACCGGACCGTTCCCCTTCGAGCACGAGCTGGAAGGAGCCTCTCTGCTTCATCTGGAGGGTTTTCTGGGCCGAGGGGGATCTCGCAGGGCTCCCTGCCGGCCGTACCAGTGCGAGCCCAGGCAGCGATGCTGCAGCAAACAGTGCTTTGTTTGCAGGGCTGAGTGACGCCAGGCGAGCTTGGAGCAGGGAGTCTCTTGCAGCCCGACCTCATTCTTCCTGCGCCAGTAAATGCACCGTGTAAAAGCACGAGGCTTGTCTCCGAGGGGTGAGTGGCTGCATGGCCCGGGGACCTGAGAGCCTGAGCTCAGCGGCGCAGCTGGTACGGCTTGGAGAGAAAGCAGGGCAGGGATGAATCGCCAAGCCTGGAAGGACTTTGCTCTGCCCCAGAAGTAGAAGGAAACCCATAGGAACAGAGGAAGGCACTTGAAGGGCAGGGGAATTACCTGGTCTCGGGCAGGGACATAACATTGCCGGTACTGACACCTTCGGTCTAGCTGAGGATCAAGCTGGTGCAGAGGTGGCTCCTGCCTGGTCTGTTGTGAGCAAACGCACCCATGGGCTCTGCTCATTTTGGGCCTATCATCCAGATCCCGTGGGGCTGGAGGCCTCTGCCTCAAGTGCCAGGGTTGGATGTTGGCTCTACAGGCCTGGCTTGGAGTCGCTGGCAAGGGATAGGTGAGTCCATGGTGTGGTGATGCTTGTGCAATGAGTGATTCTCAGTGTGCAGGGACACGTGGCCCGGGGAGGAGCTCCTGGCATGGGTTTGGTGGGAGGTCATTAGCTGCGTGCTGTGCCAGGCAGCTGGCCTGGCACCAGGAGAGGGTTTCCTGGCAAAACGGGAAGCTGCTGGCCGTTCACACAGGTTCGTCTGATCAGACCCTGGGGATGCAACCCGGGTGCAGGATAGTGGGAAGTGGGCCGGTTCCTGCCGTGGCTCTGATAGCCGTGGTGGGGGAGCAGATGCTGCTGCTCCGTTCTCTCCCCCTTTGGATGGGTGACAGAGGCACGAGCTCTTTGGGGTGTTGCCCCCCCTCCCCGAACCTGGCCTGGAGCAGTGCTTGCAGACAGCGTGTGTGAGAGTGCCGCATAAGTGTGCCTGGGTGCATCCGGCGTCGGGATGGGCTGGGCTTCTCGGTGCATCTTTTTGGCGTGGGATGTCCTGTGGACCACAAGCTGCGTCCCCTCCCTCCTCGGCTTCCCTGACTCCATCCTTGATCGCGTCCCCTTGCTCATGGCTCCTCCGGATGGTTCTTGGCACGGGGCCTCGCCTGCTGGGTGCGGTGGCTGTGGATGGATGGGATGATGGTCTGTGTGGATCTGAAGCTCGGGGTGCTTCTGTGGACTCGATAAATCAAAATTTGCTGGCAGTCAGCTGTGTTGCTGCCCTGGAGAGCAGCACATCCCTGAGAGCTAGTTGCTGTACCTGTGTGCACCCAGAGCATGCTAAAAACAGGGTGACTGCAGTTTTGGGGTGTGGGCAGCCAGGGCTGGGGCTCCTGCATTTCGGTAACTGCCTTGTCAGTCTGGCTGGGGCTTGGTGTGGCCCTCGGGGGTCCAGAACGGCTGTGTCCCTGCAGCGCATGGCTCACCTGTCTCCTTGCTCTTGTCCCAGCAGCCATGGCATCCATCCGGAAGAAGCTGGTGATCGTGGGCGACGGGGCCTGCGGGAAGACCTGCCTGCTGATCGTGTTCAGCAAGGACCAGTTCCCCGAGGTCTACGTGCCCACTGTCTTTGATAACTACATTGCGGACATTGAAGTCGATGGAAAGCAGGTACGAGCCGCGTGGCGTCGGGGCACTCTAGTCTTTCTCTTGCATAGCCCAGAAAACTGCTCCGGTAGCCCCACCGGTCCAGCTGCAGGTCCTTGTGCCTGTGACATTAATAAACCCTCGGACGCTGCTCTGGGACCCCCTGCTCACCTTGTCCTTGGGCTCAGGAGCAGGCAGTGGGCAGGGGTTGTGTCCTGGGCACTCGGGGCAGGTGGGCTGCATGGGAGCATCACTGCTTCATAGCCGGGTGATGTGGGGCTGCGGTGCCCAGCCTGTCCTGCTCCTGGAGAAGGTGTGTGCCCAGCCTGGACGAGCTTCTCCGGTGCGGGCGACTCACCGGGGTCTCTGCCTTCCCAGGTGGAGCTGGCTCTCTGGGATACAGCGGGGCAGGAGGACTACGACAGGCTGCGTCCCCTCTCCTACCCAGACACGGACGTCATCCTCATGTGCTTCTCTCTTGACAGCCCGGACAGCCTGGGTAGGATGCCTGGGGCAGAGGTGCTCGCGAGGGGCAGGACATCCCCTGGGAGGGGAAAGTCCTGGTCACAAACCAGCCTGACAGATACTTCAAGGGCTGTGAGGCTCTGACCCAGGGGCTCTCAGGGCTGCTTTGGTGCCCAGCGAGCAGCCTTGGCTGCGGCTGGGATTGCTGCTGATCCCCACTCATCCCTCGTGCCCCTCAGCACTGCTGGTCCCGACTCTTCCCACGAGGACAGGATGCATCCTGGCAGAGGACACAGCCGTGGCTGGGGCAGCATGTGGGAGACTCGGGCCTTGTGGCTATGCCTCCTCCCCGAGCCCTGGCTACGGCTGCGCTCTGCCTGGGCGGGTGTTGTCACGTTCCTGATCCAGCCGGGGAAAAGTACAGCGTGTGCTTGAGGCTGCAGCCAAGCAGGTCACCAGCATCGCTGTCACTGCCTGCCCCGTGCGTCTCTCTGGCTCTCGGGCAGGGCAGGGGTGGGGGCAGTGCGCGTGGGAAGCTGGTGGTCACAGCCTGGCCAGCCCCTGAGTGTGCGCGGTGACTCCTCTTGCAGAAAACATCCCTGAGAAGTGGACCCCGGAGGTGAAGCACTTCTGCCCCAATGTGCCCATCATTCTGGTGGGCAACAAGAAGGACTTGCGCAATGACGAGCACACACGCCGTGAGCTCGCCAAGATGAAGCAGGTATGGTGAGGGGAAATCCCAGGCTATGCCTCTGGACTGACATCTGCCTCATCTCCCAAGGCCACGGGTGCTGCCCACGCGTGGCGTCCGGTCCAGCCTGGTGCATGCAGCAGCTTCCCGCCCTGCTGCCTGGGTTGGGTGGGAGCCTGGCCAGGGAGACGCAGGGTGCTGGAGCATTTCCAGAGCTGCTGTGGCCATGTGTCCTCACCTCTCCTTGCTTTTCCGTGCCAGGAGCCAGTGAAGCTGGAGGAAGGGCGGGACGTGGCGAACAGGATCAATGCCTTCGGGTACTTGGAGTGCTCGGCCAAGACGAAGGAGGGCGTGCGGGAGGTGTTTGAGATGGCCACGCGCGCCGGGCTGCAGGTGCGCAGGAATAAGAAGCGCAGAGGCTGCCCGCTGCTGTGAGCCCGCACCTGCTCTCCAGGCCGTGTCCGTCTCCCCTACCCCAACCCCACGCGAGCCGGGGGAGAGGGCGCTGCCGGGGCTGATGATGTCTAGAGTCAGCATTTCATGCGCTGGTCTGTTCTGCACCCACCGCGTGGGAACGGCCGTGGGCTAAGAGGGGCTGGCTGCCCCTGGGACTCTCTTGTGTTGGTGTCTCTGTGGGTATGGACCATGCAGGGTGCCCTGCGGTCCTGGTTTGTGCTCCTTTCCGTGCCCCTGTCCCTGCGGGGCTGAATCGCTGTTTGAGCAGATGCTGGCTCTGGGTCTTCTTACCTGTGGCTGGGGGCTGGCCTTGTCCCTATCCCCATTCCCTGCACTCCTGCCCTGTCTCCGAGCCCAGCATCCAGCTGCTCCTGGTCTGTGGGGGCTGACTGAGGTGCACAGTGCGCGTGCACACACCAGCATTTTGTATAGACTTGCTCCAGCCTGCCCAAGCTGCCCTCTACTGTGCTCCCTCCAGCCCTGCGCGGCGGCAGCGCCATCTCCTCCTGTCCTCAGTCAATAAAGAAAGGCCTTGTCACCCCCCCAGGCTGGCTCCTTCCTTGCACGTGGACACTGTCTGGGTGTGGGGAGCAGCAGGAGCTGCTGCTTTTGCACCCGAGATGCGGGCTCATGCATCTCTTCCCCCCCGGGCATCCACACCTTCCCTCTCCTGCTCTTGGTGCAGGGGTAGACTGGGGCCAAGTGGGCATGCTTGCTGCGGTGGGGTGAGGCTCGCTAGCTGCAGCACCCAGGCACCAGCCCCCTTAGCCGAGCACAGGACATGGTACAGTGCCAGCGGGTTGTCCTCACCCCTTGCCGCGCAGGGAGCGTTGCCGAAGCAGCCCTGTCCCACTGCAGCCTGCACCGGAAGGACAACCCAGCCCTTTCCCTTGGCTTGTCTTATTTCTGGAGACAAAGCCTGCTTTCTGCGCTAGGCAAACCCCATCCCTTCACACAGCATGAAATCCCCCTGCGCTGGGCTCCAGCTGCCTCCTGCCTGTTCGCATAAAGTGCCTGTGAGCCTGACTCCCTGCCTTGCTAGGGCTGTAGAGCCGGGGCCTTCCCCCGATGGTGCGATCTGCCCCCTTCCCTGCAGCCCTGAGCTCGAGCTGCTGCTCTAGGCCTGGGCAGCATGAGAGCTAGACCTGAACAGGCATCTCCTCCTTGTCCAGGTGAGCAAGATAGCTGGGGGCAGGACATGGAGGTCACTCAACAGCTTGCAGTTGCTGCTTTGGGCAGTTTGCAGCAGGGTCGCCTCAGCCCTGGGCTGGTGGGTCCCAAGCTCAGGCTGGGGCAGCCCTGCCCTAGTGCTGCTGGAGCCCAGTCAGCCATAGGAAGAGGCTACCAGCTTTGCGTGGGCAGGAGGAAGGGGCTGCAGCACAGTTAGGGCATCCTGCATGTTGCCTCCTTCACATTCCCATCCGCTGACTCAGGCACCGTGACCTCCAGCCCTGCTCCCTTGGTCTCTGCTGAGTAAGGCAGGTGGTTGGGGCCACGGCAGGAGCCTAGGGGATGCTGCAGACGCAGCTCCCATGCCAACAGCTCCTGTAACTCACCTTTTTTGCCGAGGCCCCGCAGGTGGAGCAAGAGCAGCACTAGGAGGAAATGTGAATGTGCGGGCTGCCGTCTGCCATGCAGATGCTGCACAGTCCAGCTCCCTTCCAACAGCATGGGGGAGCTGCTGGTAGGTGAATACCACCCCCAGCCCTGGGTGGAGGCACCAGCCATCTCTTCCCAGGCTCCAGGGAGCAGATGCATATGAGGCTCAGTCTTCTCTCCCCCCAGCTGTTGCCTTGGTGGCCCCCAGCTCCCATGAGTCCTCCTCCTTGCTGCAAGGGAAAGGAAGGCCCCGTTCCTGCCCCTGGAATCATGCAGGACACAAGAGTTTTTTTTACAGACCTTTTTTTCAGAAAAATAACTGAAGGGGGGCTCTGCCAGGCTGGGTACCTTAGGTTTTCCCCAGAGCTGGTGGAAGCAGGGCCCAGTACAGTAGCTAGCAGCTGCTGCATGCGCAGGGACCCAGTATGAGGTTTAGGTGCCCCTTGGGAAGGAGCGCACCAGGCTGGCTTCCTGGGGTGTAAGGCATAGTTAACAGCCAGGGAGGTCTCTTCTCCCTTTGTTTGCCAAAGCAATTTCCATTTCAGCAAGCACCAAGTAGAGCACTGTCATTGAAGAGGGAGGAGTGGGAGAGAGACATGCCAACCCAGAGAGCCTGAGGTAGGAGAGAGGTAGAAGCGTGCTGCGCAAAGGGGCCAGCCTAGCAGCCCCCGCCCAGCACGGGGAGCAAGGTGGGGGAAGGAGCTGAGCCAGACAGATGAGGGGCCAGGAGACGATGGACACAGAGGCAGCACTCAGTGCTTGTCTCCCCACCTCAGCTCCACCTGCTGCTGGAGGTAGCTCTCCCTTCCTTGGGCTCCTGCAGGGACGGATAGGAGCAAGCAGTGAGCAGGGAGCCCCTGGCCAGGGCAGTGGGGTGCCCGGCAGCCCCCATGCTCCCACACTGTTCCCCACGGCTGGGGTAGGGGGTTCGTGCCCGCATGGTCTCTACCTGCTGGCTACTCGCTCAGGTTGAGGGCACGGAGGTAGTCAGCCAGGCCATTGTCATCCATGGCATCCTCACTGTACGGGTAGCCTGTGTAGCCGCCTTCTGCCATGCAGTACTGCAGGAACCTGGCCACGTGGGGACGAGGGCACGTTAGCAGTGGCTGGCACGGCCACTCCGTACGAGGGCGATGCCTTGCAGGAGAGCAGGGCAAGACACGGGCCATGCCTCACCTGGACCAGTGCGGATCCTTGCTGAGGACGATTGGGTTGCCCACGATGATCAGGAGAGCTTTGGCTCTGGTGACGGCCACATTGAACCTCTGGCCAGAGAGGGTAGGTGTGAGGTCTATCCTTGACCCTCCGTCCTGCCCGTGCCCCAGCTGGACCCAAGTGGTTTGGGAGCAGGGCGCATCTGGCTCCCCAGCGCTCATGCCTGGGGCAGTGCTGGGGACAAGGGCTGCCCATGCCCAGCCAGAGATGCAGGCACTTGCGAGAGCTGTGGTTCTTACTGGGCCAGACAAGTGTGTGCCGTTGGGGAGAGCTGCATGCTCCCAGCCCTCTGGGCTTGGTTAGAGAGGAAGGGGTTAAAGAAGGGCTGGGAGGGGCAGGGCGCTTGCCAGAGCTGCCCCCAGTTACCCCACAGGTGGATGTCAGGAGGAGGTGCCCAGCTTGGGAGCAGCTCTGGGCTGTGCCATGAAGGCTTTTGCTTAGTTTTGGCCTGGTAGTAGCTGCCCTCAGCCCAGGGCAGCAGAGACCTTTCCCCGCAGGAAGGCCCCCACCTCGGGGCAGGGCAGGGCAGGGGGTGGCAGAGCGGAGCCCCTGGTGCACCTGGGGGCTTTTGAGGAAGCCGAGCTGGAACTGCTCCTTGATGTCCAGGTGGTCACTACAGCTGCGCACGGTGGAGATGAGGATCACGCGCCGCTCCTGGCCCTGGAACTCCTCCACGGAGCCAACCTGGGGTGCACACAGGGCTAAGGCAGCCTTGCCTGGGCCCTCCCTCTGCTGGGGCTGCCTCCCACATTGCAGCAAGGGGAGATTTAGGGGTGCTGGGGGGTCCAGGATGCCCCAGGGAAGGAAGTGGGGGGGGGGGGGGCCAAGTGCAGACTAGTAACCACCCTCTCCATGCTGCCTGAGCACTGGGTCTTTGAGCTGGTGTAGGCAAGGGTGCCAGGCTGGCATAGGAGATGCCCCTCCAGGCACAGCCCAGTTCCTGGTGCAGGTATCACTGCAGAGACCCCAGGGGCACAAGGGCCTGGGTGCTCTGGTGTCTTCTGCCCTTCCAGACCCACCTTCAGCTCCTGGATGTCTGGCAGTGCCTGCAGCTTCCGGTCCAGGCTGGTGATGGCCTTGCGGATCTTCTCCACCTGGCACGGGGGTGCGGGGAGAGAGGATGAGGTCCCCAGTGTGCTTGGGGCCGTCCTCCTGCGTCAGGTCTTGGCATCTTGTGCATGCTGTGAGGGGCTCCCGGCAGCACAGCCTGACTGGGACATGCACCCCGGGTGTGGGGGGCTGGGACCCCGCAGCCTCTCACCTGCTTCCTGTACGGGGAGATGATGCCAATGTCCTTGGGCGAGATACGAGGGATGCCTTTCTTGGCCTGGCTCTTCAGTAGCTTCTTGAGGTAGGTGACCACGATGTCAATCTCAGCCACATTGAAGAAGGACGGGCTCTTCTCCTCCCGCTGGTTCTCCCCTTGGACCCCGTGGAAGATGATAGGAAAGCCCTGGAGTGGGGCAGGATGGGGCAGGGTCAGACCCAGGGACTGCCCGGCAGGGCCCGGGGGGCAAGGGCCTGGCCAGGCTGGGCCCCACCTGCTTGGGCAGCTCCGGCCAGGCACAGTAGGAGTGGATGATGCCACGGTCCGCGTGCTCCTGCAGCTCCCCCTCGTAGAACACCTCGTTGGGGATCTTGAAGATGGCAGCGTGGGACCTGGGGGACACCAAGGCATTTGCACGGGGCACAGGGCTGCTCCCCATAGCTCCCGTGGCACCGGGGATGTGGCCTGGAGGCATGAAGCCCTCAGGGACCCCCGCCCGCCCCGGCTTCTGCACCTGTAGTTCCTCAGCAGCTTCGTGACAAACTGGGAGTTGTAGCTCCCACCGGCCTTCTGGTACAGTGAGTTGTTGTGCATGAGCCGCTCCAGCAGCGAGACGCCTGCGGGACACAGCGACGGCGCTCAGCCACGAGCCCCCCGCAGGGTCCAGCTGCAGCACTGGCAGGGCAAGGCAACGCGATGCGTGCACCAGAGACGGCCTTGCCGGGGTCTGCACTCACCCAAGCTGTGCTTGATGCTCAGCGGGGACCTCAAAATGGGGCCCAGCTGCTTGGGGTCCCCTGCCAGCACCAGCTGCCCACCACTGGGATTGGTGTCCCGGTCCATCGCACTCAGGATACCTGGGCAGAGGAAAGGGGGTGGGAGCGGCAGGAGAGCCCTACCCAGCGCCAGCCCTCAAGTGTCCCATGCGCGTCCAGGGCTGCCGAGACAAGGCGGCAGAGCCAGGGCAGAGGGGCCTGGCGCCACTCACCTGCAACAGCCGTCACGCTCTCCGGCTCCACGGCGTGGCCACACTCATCAATGAAAACGTGGGAGAAGTGGCCCAGAGGAAACGCTGCCGAGGCCAGCCTGGAGGGACACCCACGTGAGCGAGTGCCGTGCTGGACTCCCCATCCCGGCCCCTGCACTATCCAGACCCATCCTACCTCCCTGCCGGGATCAGCGTGGTGACGAGGACCCGGTACCGTTGCAGCTCGTCCCGGCCAGGGTACACGTAGGACCGCTGCGCTGCATCCCAGTTGCAGCAGGGCTGGGAACAACCACAAGCCTTGGGGCAGGGCACGCAGCCACATGCCCCAGGGCACCGCTCACTTGGGGTAGTGCCAGCTGGCCTGGGGCCCCCCCAGCATCTCCAGGAGCCGGGATGGGCATCCACCTACCTTGATATCTGCAGGCACCTGGCTATAGTCGCGGCTGCTGGCATTGAGCCTGTAGATCTCCCGCGCGTCCCGGTGCTGGAGCAGGCGCTGGCAGAGCAGGTCGGCGGCACTGTTGGAGGGGGCACAGGCCAGCACATGCGAGCCCTTGATGCGGTCCAGCACCTGGGCACACAAGGAGAGAGGGGAGCAGGGGCACAGCCATAGAGATGGGCAGGGAAGGGGCAAACTCCAGCTCCGAGCCCCGTCCTGCTCCCCTCACCTGCTTGATGGCCTCCACTATGGTGACCGTCTTGCCTGTCCCTGGCGGCCCAAAGATGAGGTAGGGCGCGGGCCTGGACAGCCCCGACACGATGCCCCTCACAGCCTCGCATTGCTCCTTGTTGCTCTCCAGGCTCCGGTCGAACAGGCTGCAGGGAGGGCGGCAGGGCCGAGCTATGCTGTGGGAGCCCCCCTTCGCCCCATGCGGCCTCCCCCCCGCCCAGCCTGGCCACTCACCACAGCTGGGCACCGTCCTCCAGGAAGGACATCTGCGCGGAGGAGGTGGGGAAGAGGATGTCCTTCAGGCCTCCCTTTGCAGCCAGCTGTACGGCCCGGTGCTGCACCCGCAGGGGCAGCCGGTTGAAGGTGAAGGTCACATCGAAGAGCAAGTTTTTCACAAAGCGAGCCAGCAGGCTGGAAGCAGGTGGAGGTGAGTGCCCAGCTCTGCCTCAGCCCCTGGCACCCCAGGGGCCTGGTTTGGCTCCCGCAGGTTGGCCCGAGCCCCTTGGTGAGACGGATAGGGCCGGACACAACTCACCCTTTGGAGAAACCCAGCTTGACACGGTCCAGCTCCACGCGGTGCACATAGCCCTTGTACTGCACCAGCCCGTGGCTGCCACGCTCGGTGCCCAGCGTCGCGAACAAGTGGTCGCCCCTCAGCAGAGATGGGCGGTTCTCAGCCACACCAGGCACCTGCGGGAACAGCTCGGGTGGGCACGGGGATGTGCCCCCAGCTGCGCCAGGCAGCCCGTGCTCTTCCTCTCCTGGCCCAGCTCTCACCTTCAGGATGAGCAGCTGCTTGTTGTCTGGGTCTTGCACCATCGGGGTGTCCTGCAGGTCGTAGCGCCGGATGTCGACCTCCATCTGCACCTCCTCGAGGTGCAGCAGCAGCTGGAACTTCTCTGCGTAATTCCCAAATTGCAGGGGCGCCTCCAGGGAGGACCTGCGGGCAGTGCCAGCCACGGCTTCACCCAGGACCCGCTTGTACCCAGCGGGGACCCGAGCAAGGGGCAGTTGTGTCTGGGAGGAAGGGCTGCATGCCCTGCTTGCTCATGGGGCCAGGACCCCTCAGTAGTCGTGCCAGGCTCCGGGGAAATAGGAGCTGGGCGTGCAATTCCTGAGCTGCCTGGTGGACGTAGGCAGCAGGAGAGGCGCAGGGACCCGCGGGACGGGTACTCACCACAGCTTGGCCCGCTCCTTGTCAGTGCCAGGCATGCGCCGGATCACGTCCTTCAGGCTCCGTGGGTAGTTGCACTGGGGCAGCGGGATGCGCTGCTCCAGGTCCGAGTGCTGGGAGCTGCAGGGGTGAAGGGGACACTGCAGGAACGGGCTAGGGCTGGTGCTCTCGTGCTCAGTGCCATCATCCACCAGAGCTGGGCACGGGGTGCCTGGGAGCAGCCTGCAGGGAGCTGAAGCTGCCCCATGCCCATTCTGGCTTGCACGCGCACAGCCTGAGATGCTCAGGCCCGTGGGCACTGCCTTGTGCCCCACAGAGTGGCACGCTCCTGCCCCGTGAGCTGGGCACCCACACAGGGGACTTGGCCGCACCTCCGCAGGGAGCAAACGCGGGGCCTCAAGGGCTCTTTGAGCTGCTGTAAGCCAGCGCCAGTCGCACGGGGGGTGCCTTGAGCCAGGTCCAGGTTGCTGGGCCGTGCCAGGGTAAGCAGCCCGCGGGGCAACAAGGGAGTAGGGGCTGAGCAAGCACATTTGTACCTGTTGGGTAAGACACCCTCCTCAGTGTGGACGGTGAGGGGTTTCTGCAGCCCGTCCTGGTACGGCGTGTAGGGCACCGTGGGCCCCAGCTCCTCCGCCAGCCTGCTTTTGGCCACAGCTGACATGAAGCGCCTGATGGCGAAGGGGCCCGTCTGCTCAGCCATGAACTCAAACAGCAGCATGACGGGGAAGTAGCCGTAGTGCTGGGTCAGGCACTGCACCTTGATCAGGTGGGAGCTGCCTGCGGCACAGCGGGCAGTGAGACCGCCTGTCCTGGTCTCCCCGGCGGGGAGCAGGGGCCGTCGCTTGAGGCAGAGAGCAAGCACGGGGCCAGGTTCCTCCCCCACGGCCAGGTCCAGCAGCTCGGACATGCACGAGCTGCCCACGACATAGCTCTACACCGAGCGCTGGTCACCCAGTCCGTCCCTCCAGCCTGCGCTGGGCTGCACCCCACCCCAGCTCCATGCTTGCACTCCCAGGGTTTCCTGTCCCCCAAAGCATCCACGCCTGGCCCTGCTGGAGCAGAGACCCCTGCGGCACCAGGCCATTTCCTCTTGCTCCCATGCCAAGGCCAGATTTGGGTCCGGGAAGAATTTTTGCCCAGGTTGGACCAGGGTTTCCCTCCTTCCTCTACAGCCCAGAGCATGGCCAGCAAATCCACTTATCAACCCCCAGCTATAGCAGGGCATGTGGGCACGTGGCCCTGCCTGCTCTCTGCATGTGTTGGTTTTGAGCCCATCCCGAGTCTTTGGGCATGTTGGGGGAGGGGGGGGTGCACAGGATGGCCTGAAGGGCTCCCCAGTCCCGATTTTGGTGGTGCTAGGTTTGCAGTACCCAGGCAGGAGGACCTGTGCTCCATGCATGCCGCCTGCCTGGGGCACTGCAGCAAACTGGGCAGACAGCAGGGCTTGCAAGCAGCCCCACTGCTGCTCCTCTGGGCAGGGGGTGGGAGCAGGGGTAGCTGCCCGGCCTGGGGGGAGCCATGCCCAAGTACCTTTCTGCAACAGGAAGGTCTGGCCCTGGGTCACTTTTTGCGTGTCGTGAAACTTGAATTCCCGCGTGCGCCGCAGTGGCTTGAACTGCTGGATCGTGACAGGCCCCACGCCGTTGTTCTGCACCTGGATTGTGACTGTCTTGGGCACATTGGGTGTGACAGCAAAGCTGATGCGGTCGTTGCTCTGGTCGTGCTCACAGACCACGCTTATCCCATGCTTGGTGCTGATGAACTCGGCCCTGTGGGTGCACAGGGGCATCAGGTGCTTGGACCCGGTGGGGTTTGCCCACCTGCCTGCAGGGCCAGATCCTGCAAACACCTCATGCAGAACTCCTCCCAGTGTCAGTGGGATCCAGCCTGGCACCAGCAGGACCTGGCCCAGGGCTCCCAGCCCTCCCGCTCGCTGCAAGCCCGGCTGCGCGGAAGAGACTGCAGGAGCGCTGCATGGGCTGAAAGTGCCAGGCCCTGCCGGGGAAGGGCTCTGGGCTGCCAGGCTCACGATTAATTGACTCCACCAGACAAGCAGGTCATCAGTGTAAAACTAACACCAGCAAGTTCCCCACCCCCGCCCTGGCGTGCCAGGGAGGGTGGGACTCAGCCCCACCAGACGTGGCAGGAACTGAGGGTCCAGCCAGATTCAAACAAAGCCTGGATGCATCCTTGGCATGGCCTCTTAAGCAGCTTCCTGGACCCAAAATACTAGAGGCAGCGAGCACGAGAGGAGCAGGGGAAAACCCTGCTCAGACGGTTGCTCTCGTTTGCAGCCTCCACAGCCGAGGGACACAGGAAACCAGGCACGACCCGGTCCAGGGCAGGTCCCGTGTTCTCCACGCCACTGCTGGGACTGGGGCGAGGCGGGGTGTGTACCTGTCCCTGGCCCGCCCTCTGCGGGGACCCTGGCTGGGGCCGGGTGTCTGGTCTGCATTGGGCTGATCACCAGCTTTGAGCAGGGGTCTCCGGTACAAGTCTGCGACCACCACTGTCTCTTTCACCTGCGGAAGACGGAGCCCCGCTGTGGCATCAAACCAGCCCAGAGCATTTAGGAGCCGGGGCTGCCAGGACCCATGTCGCCGCGGCCGGGGCAGGACGTGGGACAGCAACCCCTGGCTCCCACGAGAGGGTACCCTGGGAGCCTCGTCCTGCGTCGCAGCTGCAGGAGCCAGGCCCTGCACACACCTACCTTGCCAAAGCGCACAAAATCCCCGCGCACCTCCGCCCGGCCACTCTTCCCCATGGTGTAAAGCACGGAGGAGAAGTTGGGCACAGTCTCTCCATCCAGGCTGCAACAACGACAGGAGGGGAAAGGCAGCAAGCTGGGCCCCGGCACAGCTCCTCCAGGTGGGTAAGGGCATGGGGAGGGGAGGAGGAAGATGCTGCAGGCTGGGGCATCTCCCTGCCCTGCTCCTTAGCTGGGGCTGCCATGGAAGACACTTTCCCACTAAAACCAGTGCTAGGCCTGGCAGGGGGCAGCGCCCTTCATTACCAGCTGCAAGAGCCCAGGGGGTGGGGAGCAATGGCACAGCCTAGGAGCTAGGACTCCTGGGTTCGTTTCCTGGCACAGACATGGACTTACGGCAGCCTTGGACAAACAGCACAGTCTCCATCTGTCTTCCTCCCTCCGTGCAGGGAGGAAGGGCAGAGCAGGACAGGGCACAGCTGGGCAGGAAGGGCCTGAGCTTGGCGCCCATGTGCAGGCAGCAGTGCCCCTTACCCCTGAGGGCTCAGGGAGTTGCGCAAGCAGAGGAGACAGCTGCAGGTCCAAGGTCCCCGGGCGGCGTGAGCAGACAGCCAGCGTTTGCTCAGGGCAGCGCCCAGCCCTGCCGGGGCACAGGGAGGTCCCCCGCTCCGCTGTTTTGTGGCAAGATGGTGCTCAGGGCTGCAGGCCGGCCTGCCCACATCGCCCCTGCTCCTGAAGCCAGGGGCTCCTTGGCCCAGGCGGGATGGCAGGAGGGACCCGCAGCCGTCAGCAGTCCCCAGGCCCAGGCGCTCCTGGCTGGCAGCTGCACATCAAGTCCGGCCACTGGCCACAATTAAGGCAGGGCATCGCAGTGCTGGGGTGAAGGGAGCCCTCCAGGCTGACCCAAGCAGGAGCCATCTGCCAGGGCCCAGGGGCTGGCACAGACAGACTGGACCGCAGCCCCCGGGGCTGGAGAAGGGCCAGGCCAGCCGGTCCCTGGCAGTGCCCTTACCTGCTCCTGAACTCCTTGCTGTAGATGCTCCTCAGCACCTCCCGGCTGCTCTGGTCCTCCCGCCCCGTGTCCTTCAGGAACTGCACAAACTGGTCCCCCGCAGCTCTCCTCTCCCTGAAGGTGGACTTGGGCATGTCAGGTGGCTCTGCCAGTAGTTCCTCTGCCTACTCTGTGCTCCTCACGGCACCAGCCCCTGCCTCCTCTTGCAAAAGCAGCAGCTAAGAGCTTCCCCAGAGCTGGGAACTCAGAGAGCAGAAACGAAAGTGAAAGAGAAACAGGAAGAGAAGCAATATGGGGGTGGCACTGTGCACCACAACAGCTACCAGGCTGGACTAGGTAGGGGGCAGCACTGGGCCATCACTTCCCTGCCCAGCCCAGGCCATGCCCAGGGGCTGGAGGGCAGCTGCAGGGATCCAGCCCTATCACCCCTTGGAAGCCCAGGGCAGGCGGGGGGGCTCTTAAATAGGATGGAGATGGGCGCAACCTGGGCTGCAGCCCCTCCCCCGGAGCAGTTAAATGCTGGCCTTGGGGCAGCTGTAGGGATTTTGCTGAGCTTCCTTAGCACCAGGTATCTAGGTTGTAGCCATATTTGTTTGAAGTGGTGTTTGTCACCCTATGGGTCATGAGCCTAGGCTGCAAGAACATATGAAAGGGTTGCAAGCAAGCTTTAAAAGTGGGTTCTCCTTTAAAAGAGAAAAACAAGAGAAACAGTGGTAGAGTTCCAGCTGCTTGGGACTCTCCCTGCCCCGCATGCTGGGGGCAGCAGGTCTGGACTGACCACTGATGTTTGGAAATAGGTCTTGCTACAAAAAAAAGTTGAGAACTGCTGGCCTAGAAGCAAAAAATCAGAACTCATGGCAGAGGTGATATCTCTTTATGAGACTAACTAGTTACGCGCAAAAGTATTCTTTATCTGCAAGCTTTTGGGCACAGGCACCCTCCTTCAGGCACAGGAGAGAGCAAAGCTTGTAACAGTTCTCCTAGGTAGAAATGAAAGCTCATATTCCACAGGAGGGCTGAGGGTGTGGTACCATCTCCTGTTTGGAAGAGCTCATTTGGTGCAGATTAGTCACAGAAAAGCTGGAGCAGTCTTTTTACCTCTAAGTTGCCTGGCGGTAAGCAGCACGTAGAATCCTCTCTGATCATGTTTCATGTTTTACGGAAGAGTGGGAAGATGGAAAGCTCTTCTGGGCGGGGATGTCTGTTGTGGTTGGGGGGGCTAGTTGTAGCGGTGTATCTCGGAGTCTCAGTGCTCTGTGAAATGCAAATTCGCTCGAACAATCACAGGAGCCTGCAGCGTGGTGTCAGCCTTCAGGTGGTAAAATGTTTCCTTTTTGTAAAATTATGAGGTTTTCATACCAAAAAGAGGCTAAAATTTGATATTGTCCGTGTGTCAGGGATCCAGGTGGTAGCCATATTGGTCTAGAGGCAAAAGGAATCAGAACTTGTGGCAAAGGTGATCTCGTATTAGACAAACTAGATATTTGCAAAACCAAAAATCTTTACTTGCCATCATCTTTCAGGCACAAGCCCCCTCCTTTAGGCACATGTGAGAGCAAAGACTGTAAAAGTTGGAAATGAAAATTCGTATTTCACAGGGGGTCTGACTGTGTGGTAAAATCTCCTCTTTGGAATAGTTCATTTTGTGCAAAAGTTTTTTGGCAAATCCAGTTGGTCTAATAAAAGAGAATCTCAGCCACAAATTCTGATTCCCTTAGCAGCAGGGCTTAAGTATGCTCTGTCCATGCAAAGTCCCCAGGGAACAGGTGGAAGCAGCAGGCTGCTTTGCAGGCCCCATCCTTGGGTTAGAGCCCCCCAGGGTCTCGGGGGCTGCTGCCTTCCTGCTTCCCACCAGCCTGTGGCCCCTGGAGGGTGGATTCAAAAGCACCCAGAGAGCTCACTGGTGCTGGCTGAGGGCTGAGCTTTGGGCAGGCAGTGAGTTTCAGGGCCTAGGCCATGGGAAGATAAGGATTGAGACCTCAAAGGGAGCCCCCCCATCCAAGGGAGTAGGTGTCAAGGGGGTGGCTGCAGCAACTGAAGGCCACACCTGGGTATGTTGCGGTGCTGGAGCTGACTGGCTGGGCTTGTTTCTGCTTTTACAGCAGGTGCTGAGAGAGTGGGGAGAGCTGGAGACCTCTCCCAGCCCTGCCACAGCCAGCCAGTCTGACCCGGGGTGAGTTATGGGACCAGAGAAGCAGGGGGAGGCCGCCTGCGGTTCAAGCAGAAACATTTTCTACCATTTCTCTCATGTGCAAAGTTTAATTAAAGTCAGTGCTGGACCTGGTGTCCCTGTATGATGTGTAGTCTCGAGCTCTTTCACAGCATGCTTATCAGATCTCACAGTACTTTACAAGGTCTGTAGCATTGGCCCCATTTTATAGATGGGGAAAACTGAGGCAGGTGAATAGTGGAAGCCTGGCTTGTGTGCCTAGCTCTAAGTCCCAGCCCAGGGCTCTATCCACTAGACCTGCCTTCCTCCCACATGTCTATTTTACAGGCTGTAGCCTACCAAGGGCAGTCAAGGTAGGCTGGTTTGATGCTTTTCCTGCTACATGTGCACCAGGTGCTTTGATAGACTTGGGCAGTGCAGAGACCTGTTGGTGTTTGGCTTGGTGGGGATGATCTTTCCATTGCCCTAACATCTCTCTCTCCTAACTGGCACATGTTTCTCCTTGCCACACAGCCCCCAAGCTGGGATGGACCTGTACCTTTAAGAGCCCTCAAGCCCAGGGGCTGGGCCCAGTTCAGCAGGGCCATGATGAAGATTGGATTCACCTGCTGCTGCTGAACTGGAACCTGGCTCCGCTGGTCTCCGCCCTCTTGCAAAGGAGGTGGGTTTGAGGCCTCCACTCCAGCCCAGCCTGCTTCTGCAGCACCCTCAGCCTTCTGGAGATGGGTAAGAGGTGGAAGGAACAGTCTGTCCTTTGCTTTGGCTGTGATAGCCAGCTAGCTTCTGCTTGTCTGGGGCAGAGGGAGCCAGGGTGGGGGGTGGGGTGGGAAGCAACTCCCACTGGAGTGTGATGCACACAGTGTAACAGGCTGGTGCAATGAGGACGGCACTGGGCAGGGATGGTTGGCTGTGCTGTGTAGTCCCAGTGTCACTTTTCCCTGGCAATGTTTCACCCTCCTCCTTCCTTACCCAGAGGAGGTATGGGGTGGAGGTGCACGAAGCACTGGGAGTGCCTGGCCAGGAAGGTGCTAACACCACTCAAAGGATTTTGGGGCTCTGCAGCTTGGTGTAAGGGTGCTCAGTCCCCTTGGAGCCAGGGAGGAAAAGCATGTGAACTCTTAAGAAGTGGTGGAGGTCTGTGTCCAGGATGTAGGACAAGGCTGGATTTGGGCTCCACTGCTGGGCGGAGGCGATCCTGGTGCTTGCTCTGGTGCACTGACCTACCAAGTTTTTTACTGAGTTTTCTCCTTGGTGCAGCTTCTCCACTGGTAACAGTGGCAGGGGCCCTGGGCTGATGGCACTTCGGCTGGCCTCGGTGACCTGAGGGCAGTGGAAATGTTTCCAGGAAAAAAACCATAGGCCCAGTGTGCCAGCTGTCCACAGTCCAGGGCATTTGTATGGGATGCAAAGCATGATGCTATAGCAGCCCCAGAATGACTGACTTTGATAACCAAAGGGAGTGAAGGTGGTGGTCACCATCTGGGATGGTGCTAAGCAGCAGCTGAATGGAGCATTACAGCAGCTGGGGAAGGCATGCAGTGCTGAGTCTCTGGGAATGCTTTGTGGTGGAGCACCTCCTTCCCCGGGGCCCCAAATTCCTGGCACACCTTGGTTGAGTGGCTCCTAGGTTGTCTTAGGCCTGGCAAATGTTCCCATCCTGGTTAACTTCTCTCCACCCTCTGCCCATGGCCCTCTCCCTACAAAAATGTGCCTGCTTGCTGTATGGGCCTTTGCATCTCTGTCTCATGGGGTTGTAGTGTTACAGCTGTACCTATGTAAGGAGTGCACAAGGGGTGCATGTTTTTTAGGGAACTCCTGTACAGTGGGGGAAGAAGCGTGACAAACTTTAAGATGCAAAGCATCCTTTTTCAGCTAGTCGAATGTGACCTGTCTCCGTCTGAGGCAACAGCTGGGTGATCCTGACTTGCAGAATGCCTTGGACAATGTTTGGTCTTGAAACACTTTAATATGCAAATAGGAGCAAGCATTGTTGCATGTAGCTTTATATATAAGAAATAGTGGAAGGTAACCAGCTTGCAGCTTGTGTCAGCAGACCTCAGAACAAAGGTGCATGTGGTTTTCTGTTCTGTGGCAAGACCTATGCAACCATGTCTGCTGCCAGGAGCCGGGAGAGGTTGAACTGTGACCTAGTGAGAGTGGGGCAGTGTCAAGGTATTGGAGACAGGTGTGAGGAGCCCCATGTGTCCTGTCACAAAGGAGGCATCTTGCAGTCCTCGGAGCTAGTCATATGTTCCTCCTGACTGCGAGTTTCCAGAACTGCAGTTCTGTGTGATGTGGGTGGAAAAACAGTCAGCAGCTCTGTGTATAGCCCTAGTAATGCTGCTGTTACCTGATGCAGGGCAGAGAGTTTTGGTAGCAGCTGCCTGTGTTCTGCTTGGGAACAAACAGGAGAGACCATATAAAGGACAGATGCAAGTAGCTTTAGAACAAAGACTGGTGTATTTCTACTGAGCTCGTTGACACAGGGTGCGGGTGGGATGGATGAACGGATATTCTGAATGGCAAATAATACAAATATATCTTTATTCTGACAATTTTCTCACAAAGAATGGGACACGCAACTTTGTGATACCACTGAACAGAACCTAATGTTTAATGCACAAGCAGCCCCCCCCTGCCTGCATGTTTAGAAATAGGAAGACACCAGCCAGTTTAAAAAAAAATCAGACCTTGGGAGAGGCCCAGTGACAACCACATGTAAACACAGCAAAGGGAATCAACTAACATTTTATTTAGCAGTGTATCTAAAATGCGAGAGAGATTCCGCCTGAGGGAAGCTGCTCTGCCGTCTGTTACTCCGGGTTCTAAGAAATCAGAATAATTTAGCACGGGTTTTTAAAAAGCAGTTGAGCTGAATCCCAGCGTTCCCTGTAGGTATAACAAAAACTGGCCACAACAGAAGGAGATGAGGAGGGAGTGTGGGCTGTCTCTCACTTTGGTGCAGATCTTTTATTTGATGCAGCCATTGTACATGCCAGCCATTCATATGCCTGGGGTGCCCTCTAGGAACCTGCCACAAAGCATCAAAGCACAACATACCCAGGATTCCTTAGACATCTGCATGTTCACCTGGAATAGCAGTCTTGGTCCAAACTAAATGGATCACCAGTGATCCAACTTGGACCTGGATGAAGCGTTGTGTAAAAATGCAGATGTCTGTTCACCATACGTCCAAGAAAAGAAAGAAGCAACAAATGTTCATTTAAAGGGAACGTGGCTCAAGTCTTTGGATAAAAAATCCAAACTTGCTTTCTCCAGAAGAGTTGGCCTCCTTGGGACTGCTGCATGGGGGTTTGCAAACTCATTCCAAATACTACACTCTATACTTGGAGGCCTGCTGCTTTGCAGAGCTAGCAGCGGGGCATGTGGGAGGATGTGTTGCATCTCACAGCATAGTGCTGTGAGCTGTTGGCAGAGCGGACAAACTGACAGGAGCACCATGTAAGCGTGCACAGAAAGTGCTCCCAATACCCTCTGCCTGCGTTTATAGAAGGGCTTTCAGGGCTAGGAAATTTTCCAACCAGAACAATTACAATGACTCCAGACCAGAGCTACATCACTGAACTATTAATGTGGCTTAATTCAAAAGACCTACCAGTAAATGCAGTCACAGCAGGGAGTTTATATGGCAGGGAACATAAAACACAAAGACAATGCTATTTGTTCAACAGTTCTCTGTGAGGCTAGAAAACCTGTTAACTTTGAAAGCCCTAGCAAGATGCTGCACTGGTTTAGAAACCGCCTACTTGGCATAAGACCACGTTTGTTTTTTGCACGCTAACATTTCATACATCTTCTCCATTCTGCCTTAAGCGTTTTGCATTTCTTTGCCAATCTTGTAGCTAAGGATTTTGTTCCAGTCGATCTTGGTGCGAGTGACCGGGAGCTGCCGACGTAAGGCTTTGAATGTGGTGTCTGACATAGTCTGGTAGTTTTCGCTGATCGCCGTCTGCAACAGCAAGTGGATGGAAGGTCAATGTCTCGCTATAAATTTACCCGTGGAGGGTGCTTCAAAAAAGCACTAGGCTGCTATGCAGCTTTAGTGCTATCAGTCCCTACTAAGGGGAGGCACACTACCAGGGGCTAGTGAAGCAAAATGAGTGTTGTGGATAAAAGAAAGAGTGTCTACTGCCCTCCTCTCCTGTTCTTCAAGTGAACTTGGTGAACATGGCCTTTTGGAAGAGGCCTGAAGGAGAGGCAGAAAAACTACAGCAGCAAAGGCTGAAGCATGGGGTTCCTTCCAGTGTTTCGTAGCAGGAGGTGGAGAGGGGCATTCAGTCCAGGACTCAAACACTTGCTGGCCTCACGACTGAGGATGTCCATAGAAGTGCCCTCTGTGACCTAGTGCTGAACTGGAGTTGGTGCCCTTCCAGCCTCCTTGTTAACACCCTTCTACAATACCAAGGCATCCTGCTGCTGGTGGCCATTGGAGGATTAAAGCTAGAAACAAGCATGAAGGCACAAAGGATAAGAGGGAGGCCAAGCTATGGAGTGAAGCTGTGCATCATGACCACTTGGAAATGGTACATTTAAAAAAAAAAAAAAAAATACAGAGGGAATCTGCCAGGTATCTGCTAGAGTCTTACCTGGTACTCGTTTTCTGCATGTTCTATGACTTTAATAAATTCCTTGGCTGTTTGGACATCGTTCTGTAAAGTCAGAGGAGGAATTACTATTTTCAGATTCAAAGACTGAGTATTACAGTGAAAAAACAGACCGTCTCCTAGAATTCTCTTCTGGAGATACTAGGAGCATAAGCAACTGGGAACAGACTCAGCTGATGTGCATAGGAGTTTAAGCACATGGCTTAGAAGTAGAAGCAGACTAGTTAGGAGGCATGTTGTCGGCTCCAAAGGAAAGGGAGGACTGCCCTCTAGCGAGCAAAATCAGATGGTCACTCCCCAACAGATGATGGGGATGCTACTTCACTGGCTCCCACTTATTTAAGGTCCAAGCT